AAGCAACACACCTCATAACTACCAGCCAAACCTAAGATGTTCCATGTCTCTGTTTTTTATATAATTGAATTTTGGGGACCCATAAAGCGATTGTAACTAAAACTGTTCTATTGCTCTTCATCATAACCCTATCCACTCTGCTTCGACTCAAACACTACTCTCATTACAAGCACATGGGTAGGACCATGGTTGGTGGTTGGGACATGTGGTGGGTTTAACATTTGGTACTTCGATGCAATTATTGATGCCAAAGCTAACATTTTTATAATACTAATAGTAACTGCATCATGGAATCTTGCTCAGCGACCCAAACAAAGAGAGAAAAAAATATTTGGTGGAATCGCTTTCAGTTTGAGGCAACCGATGGGAGCACACATCTTTCCGTTTCCAAGATTCGCATAACTTTTGTCTGAGTACAACTAATTTTAATTCTATATTCTTTTATTCACTAAATGCGTTACTCTTTTCGTTTTTAATAACTTATATTCAACTATCTCATCTTCCAAAAACTTATGAAATCAATAACAGTATTGCTGTTTTTGGTTACGGATGGATAATAATATTGATAGAGTTAATTTTTATTTTGGAGTTTTGATTTGATAAAGTTTTATTATTGAAAAAACGTTTTAATTTATAAATTATTTCTCATTATTTTTAAGATATTCTTAATTTTTTTTACTAAAAATTACACGAGAATAAATATAAATAGTTTATGATAAATCTTGTAATTTAAAATTTGATTAGAATTATTTATATAAATAATTTTATTTTAATTTTAAATAATGTTTTTTAATTTTAAATAACTCAAATATAAAATCTTTAATAAAATATTTTTTTTTCGTAAGTTATTTTTATTAGTATTTTCATTAATAATGTTGTTAAGTGATAAAAATAAATAATAATAATAATAAATTATTAATATTAAGTGATGAAAAAAAAATTATAATAATATATATAAATTAGTTTTCATCTTCACTCTTAATCGTGAAGTGACGGGTAACAAAATAATAGCAATGATGAATTTATGGATGAGTAAATAATAGGTGGGAAAAACAGTGTGCAAAGTATTTAAACATTGTGTTGGAAGGAGAAATCACATGAAGATAAGTTATCAAATACAACAATAAATACATTATCACATGCAATCCTTTTCGTGGCAGCATGTGAATCATGAGATTACGCGTGGGAAGAAGAAGAAGAAGAAGATTATTGTACGGAAATTTTGAATAAGAAGAAGGAGGAGTAGAGAGAGGTGAATTTATAAAAAGGGATTGGAGTGATAAGGAAAAGGATAAAGCTTTATTGCTTTATGCCTTTTATTGTTTATGAAAGAATATAAGTTGGTGTGTATGGATCTGTGAAATCTGTGAAATGTGTTTTCACATCCTCTAATAATTCAAAATATGGGAAATTGGCAAAACAGCATATGCCATGGATCCTCTGTATTCTGGAAGCAACCTTTTCATCTTTCAATAAACATTTTTCTTCCATTTTGCATTTTACATCAAACATCACGCTATCAACCTATGACTCACCTGACGGTCCTTTTTTCAACTTCACTTTCTCTCTCTTTTCTTTTTTCTTTTTTCTTTTTTTTTTCTCTTTCAAACCCAATTCTCCAATTTCACGACACTTTTTTTAAAATGAACGCCTTCCATTAAAAGCAAGTTCGATCAATTATTGCCACACTATGAAAATCCCATGTTTGAAGTAAAATAAACGAAAAATCTAATTTTTAAAAAATACCCAATTTGAATTTTCAATTTAACCAGTGAAATCACATGTAACATGTTGGTCGCGATTTCATATTTGGAGGGACATAACTCGTTTACAAAACGAAGTTATCAACTTTCAACTGAAAATATATATTCTATTTAATATTTGGACTACTTTTTAATATGTTAATTGAAGTGGTCTTTTTTGATCTATATTGAATGCTTTCTCTCCATCATTAATTTAGCTCCTGTTGATTTCTTAAAGATATCATTTTTATCATATAAACAAATGATATATCAAATTTATTTCAAATTTTATGTTAAATAAATAAATAAAACAAACACTTTATAGATTGGGTAAAAGTTATTTTCAACTTAAATTAAAAAAAAAAAAGTTGACGAAAAAGAGTGCAATTTGAAGGCTGGTCCAAAATAAAAAGTGGTCATACTATGAACTGAGAGTGGGCCCCATGATGATAAGGGCGTGGATATAGATGCCATCGCTTATCTTCAAATTAAATTCACCATTTTCAACTTTCATATGACATCACTGCTTACGCATCTCAATTCCTACCTCTTTTTTTTCTTATTCTTAAAATAGCTTTTTATTATTCTTAACATTAATTTATAAAAAAAAATAAATATCTTTATAAGTTTCATGATTACGAAATCCGTTATTAAAAATATAACCCATTGCCATTTTCATGCCTTTCAAATTTTAACCCCATCAAATCAAAAGTTAAATCCATTTTCATTATTCGATGTAAAATAAGACAAATTATGCCTCAACTTAAATTAAATAATTTAATCGAATGTTTCGAAATACTACTATAATGGATCTTGTTCCCCACTGTTCCAAACCAACTATCTGATATATATACCTCGTTAAAACAAAACCACTATATGATACGTTGGTTTGTATTTAACAGTTATTATTTAATTTGTTAGGCTTATTTTTTTATCATTTAAAAAATTAAAGTAATTGAGATTCCGTACAGGATTAAAATCTAATGGGTTTAATTTAAAACAGGAGAGGATTGAAATTGGGGACATATCACGTTCACACGTTACGTTAATATAAACGAAAAGTTCATAAGCACGACTACTTTTCTATCAACTTATATTCCTTTTTTTAATGAATGGGAACAATAATTGAGGTGGAATCTGGATCTCTTAACAGTTACAGTTTTTTTCTTTTCTTAATAATTTTACAATATAATGATTTAGTGTGTTATTTAAATATATTGTAAAGTTATTAATATATTGGAAAATACATAAAAGTTTATTTGTAGTCGGTTGATAAATTTTACTTTTTTTACGCTATATATAAAAACAAAATTGGTTCTAATATCTCCATCTCTTCAACACACAAGTTCCAGAGGCACCAGAAACTTTGGAAAAAAATGAAGAGAGTGTGTAATTGATAGTGAAAGGTAATATTAAATAGAGTTTATTAGAGACAGAACACTGGCAGCCCATGTGGTGTTGGTTAGTGGTTACTTGTCGGACGGGTTCTTCAGAAAAAGGGACAAAGTCAAAGCAAGCAACCAGTCTTCGCATTCATTTCTCCTCTCATAACCACATTTTTTCAATCATATTAGCCAAATGTTTACTACACCATTTTTTTTCTAAATTACATAAACAAAATAATAATAATAAATATATATATATATATATATATATATAAACATTTATTAAAACAAATATTCATGTTAATTTATGAACACCCAAACTCAATATTTTCATTGAACAACAATTGTAGGTGCTCAAGATGAGTATTGTTCCTCCACCACAATTATGTGTGCCAACACAAACTTATAATAATATTATCCATGACCTGCGTTACAAGTGTCATGATAATCTCTTTTAAGGTACTTTCCTATGATCGTCCAAAGATTCCTAGTGTGTATACCACTCATCAAATTCAACTCAAATCCTAAAGATTAACTCATGGAACCATTTTCCAATAACTAACCCACTATTCTTGATTTAGCATATTTGCAACATCAGTAGATTATTTACTTGGTTGCATAATTTTAAAAAATAATTATTTCTTATTTCCTATCAATTATAAGATAATACAATAAATACTAAATAGATTGAGTTATTTATTATTTAATTAGATCCTTGTCTTTTCGTTTGTGCTTGTGGCTTCAAACTTCAGCAAGTTTAAATTGTTGCGGAAAGTGAACACAAAAGTTGTTAGGGGAAACTAACTCCAGAGTACTAGTGTATCTGAAATAAAAGGTCATCTAATTTTTCCTACTAAAAAGAACCACCATTATTAATGCTTTTTTTTTTCTCTCTCTCTCTATAAACTGATTCTTTCATGACAGAATCTCTATTTAATTTGATGATCGCGCTGAAAGTAAACAGAAATCAAAACCACAAAATCAGAAGTGATACAGAAACCATTTACTGTTTTTCACTCAATTGTTATCATGATAATCATTATTATTGTGGCTATTACATTTACAGCAACTACAGACAGCATTAAACTCCACTTTGTACTAGGGGGAGTCCGGGAGATAACCCACTTTCTCACTTTCTACACAGAAAATCATCGATAGTGGAAGAAAACAAGATTCTCTCGACTCATACATACAGACATACCTAGAGTCTCAGATTCCCAAATGAAAAAAAAAGAAGGGGGAAAAATCTGCTTGCAACCAGGAGAATTTACAGAAGCTTCCTCTGTTCTGTTACTTACTCTGCCACCACGAGTAGACCACCTTATTGTCGTAGAAGAGAACGAAGACTAGGGGCAAAATTAGCTACACCAACTGAGTAGCTTAGTTCATCTCTCTCTCACTATATATATATATTTCTCCAGCACCATTGCATTCATCTGAGATCAAGTCAAGTCATATCAGATGTGTCACCCGCATTCAAGATCCAAGGGTGTCCTACAAATAAAAAAACCCATCAACACAAAATCCCCAAAATAAAATAAAAAAGACATAAAGATTGACAAAAAGGAGAAGGAAGTAGCAGTAACTTACTCAAGGCTTGATCTGCAGAGAACCTTCTAGAAGGGTCTCGGGAGATCATCTTTCTGAGGAGATCCTTGGCGGCGGGGGAGACAGTACGGAAGATTCTAGAAGGGAACCTAAGGTTAGCCCTAACCACAGCCTCAAAGATCTCAGCAGCAGAGTCTCCATAAAAAGGAGGAATCCCTGCCAACATTATATACAAAATAACACCACAGCTCCACACATCAACTTTCTCATCATACTCCCTTCCCATCACAACCTCCGGCGCCACGTAGTACGGCGTCCCCACCACGCCACTCATGCTCCTTCCGTCGCCAAACCACGCCGCCGACCCGAAGTCCGCCAGCTTCAGATTATCCGCCGAGTCGAACAGAACATTGTCGGGCTTGATGTCGCGGTGGGCCACGCCGAGGCGGTGGCAGTGGGCCACGCCTTCCAGAAGGTTCTTGATGAGGGCGGCCGCCTGAGCCTCGGGGATTGGGCCGTTAACGATGCGATCGAAGAGCGTGTGGGGCTGGCAGAGGTCCATGACGATGGAGAGATAATCGTCGTCCTCGAAGACATCGAAGATTTGGAGGATGTTGGGGTGGGGAGAGAGGAGGGTCATGAATTTGGGTTCGTTTTGGAGGCACTCTCGGTCGGTGGAATCAGCGAGGAGAGACTTGTCGATAACCTTGCAGGCGTAGGGTTCGTTGGAGAGAGGGTGGTAACAGCGGAAGATGGTGCCGAAACGACCACGACCGATCTCCTCGTTTACCTGGTACTGCGTCTTCAGGGCTTCGCACATTCTTCTTTTCTTCGTTTTTGTTTTTGTTTTTGTTTGTGTTGAGTTGTGGGGTTTGGTTTGGTCTGTTTTTATAGAAAAAGTGGAAACGCCAAAGATGGGGAAAGAAAAGGACCCGATGGACTGCGGAGTATTGAAGAGGAATATTCGTTCGGTGGATACCCTTTTGCTCTTCGTTCCTCCACTCTCAATTCAACTCCCACATCACTTTTCACGCTCCCTCCCTTCACTTGTTCTTACTACAAATATTATTATTATATTTTATATATTATTTTCATCAAATGCAACCTAGTGACACTAATTTATATTATAATTAACTAAGATGTTATTTCTTCAGGACTCAAATTCAATAAACAGTTACAAAGACTATTAATCTAGTTAAATTAAGGGTTACCAAATACCTAATTCGATGTGAATTAAACAAATCATTTAGTTTCTTCTTCTGCAAGTTGAATCTCTTTAATTTCTTTATTTGTTTCCCAACTGCTTATTTTAATACTTTTCAAAAGGAGATTCTCTTTTATGCTTTTTTTTTTTCTCATCTGGACAAAAGGAGTATACGAATTGGAACAAGCAAAGGCTATCCTTGGAATATACCTCCTGAAAAATAAAAAACCTTAGTTTCTCTTTTTTATTGTATGTAAGAACATTCATGATCATCCCTGAAATTTGGTAAGGTAACTGAGTTCACCTTTATGGGCTACTGACACCTAGAGTTTGATTATTACAAGCTGACAACCTAACTTCTGTGCTTTGCTTTGCTGATACCACCTTTTCTTTTTCCTTCTCAATGTACAAAGCCACCTTATTTAGCGTAAAATATTATAAACTTTTTCTTATCATATTTTAGTGTTAAATTATATTCTACACTTGCTGTGATATTGTTTTTGATAACTATCTTATAAGTATTTATTTGTTTTTTTTAATTAAACTTGTAATTATTTTATAAGAATAAATTTATCCAAATTGAAATAATTAGCCTTTTTTTTAAATTGACTGACTTAAACTAAATTAAATTAATAAAATTTACTCTTAATTCGAGATCCTATTTGTATTTTAATACGTAAATAGAACTTAAATTATTATTATTAATAAAATTATAGACGATAAAATGTCTTATTTTATTTTTTACTTATCAATTTATATTTTTTTTTATTTTTTAAACATAAAAATCATGTTTTTTCTTTAATCTATAATATATTTATTTTTCTATGAAAAAGTAATATTTTTTTATATATAAATTATTATTATTATTATTCCACTTCCTATATTATTCCTTATTTCTTCTACTTTCATACGCTATGACATGTATAACTGTATTTTAAATATTGGTTCTAGATTGGCTTTTAAGTTACTAGAAAAAATATATATACTTTTTATTTTTTGTACGTTTTTTAAAAAATTATTGTAATATTAGACTCGATAAACCAAACCAAATTAAAGGAGCATTTTAGTGGCTTCATTTCTAATCTTCCTTGGAACCGAATCTAACCAAGCCGAGGACACGCTATACAAGTATAACATTCACTGGTAAAACTAACGGGGGCGAAGGGGGTTTAAAGTCCTATCGAATCTATAAACTGGAATGATCTTAACGTCCACAAAAAATAAATTTCAACTAAAAATATACACAGGATATTTTCTTTAAAAAAAATACAAGTTGAAGATTTGTGGGGTACAAAGTTATTGTTCGTTCCACAATGACAATTTATTTTTGCCTAAATCCAAGAGGTGGATGGCTTGGTTTGGGGTCCATTTTCTCTTTTGCTAAATGTGAAATATATTTTCTTTTACTAAACTAAACAAAAGCTATTGTCGTTGGGGTCCAACGAAAATGATGATAAGCATATGGACCACAGCTTTTCCGGATATGTAGGCATTAAGAAAAGAGCACCTTAAAAAAGGTTCGGATTATTTTTATTTCTTAACGACAGGCACCCTATGACTTACCGGACATCCGACGTACAAGCCAGGACAATCGATCCAGATATTTGAGAGAGAGAAGAGTACTATTAGCGACCACGTTGCATAGCTTTATGCCAGTTCAATTTTCTCTTTCTACAAACGGGTACGATTAGAAGTCTATGGATAAAGTGACTCTTGACCAACATTTCCCCTTCTACAAACACCACTCGGGATCAGGCTACAATTTTACGTTAAGTTTGATTTAGTTTAACATATTAATATTTTGTTCTACAATTTCAATTTTGTAAGTATAGCCAGACGCACTTATACAAGGTGAACTGTGATTCAAAATGAGTCAATAAAAGCCTGCAGTTATCCAGTCAAATAATTACCATGTAATTAAGACTTTGCTCAAAAGTTCTAACGTTACATTGTGCCATCCCAAACCTTTTATTAATTGACAACAGTCTCTAACATTATCCAGATACTGACTTCTTACTTAGGCTTCATTTATTTTACAAGTCAAACTCTATCCCAAATAAACCTTTCTTTTCGCTGCAGAACCTCACAAATGGGCTCTTGGGCACCTATAATCTCCATCTTGATTTATACAAGTTCGACAGCAATAACGATGGAAATCACTAAATCTATAGCTTTCTTCAAGAAAAAAATACCGGACAAATATGTACGACTTATTAAAAGAAATATATGCAATGTACATAGCGACTGGATGGAAAATATACCCTCTTCAGCCCACCATCCTCCAACATAAAAAACTGTCTAGTAGTATCTTTACGGAATTATTAATAAAATCCTGCATATATCTTGAAAAATAAATTTAATCATACAAAAAAAAATGCAACATTTTTATGTCTTGCATTACTCTTTAAATTCTTCTATGCCTAACAAAACAAATTGAAAGACGGTAACCAGAGGCACAGATGACGAAACAAATGCACTCTTCAACAGATCTGGGGCAAAAGGGAATCGACCATTGAAGCAAACAACTAAAAGTTCCAAAGGTGAGAAAATCTTGCAACTTACTTTCCTTTAACAACTTGGGTGCCTCCAAATAACATAGTCATTGATGTTAATGATATTCAACCTTCTCAGGAAACGTCCACATTTTGCATGGATAGCAATAGAAGGCAACAAAACTTCCACGATAATGGCCCCAAGTATTATCACTACCAGCAAATCAGAATATTGTTGGAACTTGCCATTATAAACACATGTTCTTAGCTTTGGAATTTCACACTCTTTGAAGCAAAGTTGGCACAGTTCCACTTGAAAGCTGATCCTGAGCCCAGTACCTCTGAATAATGGCAACTCTATCAGTTATGGGGCATTTATTTCTTTTCATCCCTGTACTATATATATAATGCCCAAAATAAGAGAAATTAAGAAGTCCAAAATAGAGAGAAGAGGGAATAGACACTGCACTGGCCAAAGACCTCAAGTTCCTGACTTCATCTTTCAAGTAAACATAAATCAAACTTCTAAGCATGTAGCATGCTCACAAGTCAAAAGAAAGTCTTATTCAAAAACACTTACCGAAAATATCTTTAGAAAGGAGCCTCTAGTGATTCATCCCAGACTTCTGCACTTCCGTTAGAGACATCTTCCACGTCTTCTTCCATTGAAAGCCTGATGTATTCTCTATGAGCAAATCGATCCCACTCTGTCAATGTTGGATTCTCTCGTTCCTATTCACACAATACAAGCATACCAAATACCAACAATGTCAGTAACAGTAGCCAAGCATACATACTAACTCAACAATGCAATAAATTTTATTTAATATTTCTTGCACCTGACGGATCAAAAATGGATCACGCGTTTCGAAGGCCATGAACTTATTGAGATTGAACAGGATATTGAAAACACTTCCTGAAAGTTTACCACCTTTCAGATCACGCAGGGTTATAAAGCTCTCATCCTGCAGAGCGAAGCGATTGAACTGATTAAAAATTATCAAATAATAAATCAGCACTGACATGACACCCACCAAAGATATAGAGGATAAGAAAAAGGGAGACAACATGCTCACGAGATCTGCAGTCGCTCTTCCAAGTAATGTTACAGCACAATAACCCAATAAAAGATCAAACAAATAGCAAACGAAAGATGGAAAGGCAAACCTCAGGTTTAATCATGTCAATTATCTGACACAATATGTCCTCAAAAAGCACAGGCTCTTGGGCCATGCACTCCATCCTATGCAATTGCTCCTCATAAAAAAATTGCAATTCATTCCTGGTCAGAACTCCATTTCCATCCAAATCAACGCACTTGAACCTAGCAGTGACATTTTCAAGTCAGCCCATACGTTGATGGCTTAAAATTTTGGAAAACAAGTCAAACGCATCCACTGTTTACCAAATAGTTTGCTTTCTGGCAAATACAGATATCAAAGGAAAGTGGCAATGTAAAGTATATCATTTCACTCTTCTGACACTTTAGTACAAAGGACACAACGTATACCAACTCTAGACTTCAAAATAGAAGTGTAGAGGTTCATCTCATTATCAATTTTCCTTCAATTGTTCCACTTTATACGGTCTTCAATAGTTCAGTTTCCACTGTCTGATTTTCTGATGGGCCAAGCATCCTTCAGTAACTCTCTAGCATACTAAAATCTGTTGACACTATACACTTGATCTGCTTAGAATGCGGTTACCCAAACTTACAATAACATATTTATGGTCTCAAGCAACTGATAAATAACAGATAAAGTTTCATAATCATGGACTCAAGCACAAGAATCTGCACCAATTAAAATCCAATCGAATAAAAGCACATTTTAACCATGCCTAAATTTACAAAGCATCATCACGAGAAACTAATCTGATTACTCCTTTCCGAAAAAGAAATAAACAAATGAAATGGATAGTGAAAGTGAAACACATACCAATACTCAAGACTTGGTTCAGATGGTTTATCCTCTTCTGCAAGTATAAAGTAAACAAAATCTTCATATCCCATCTTACCCTCAACCTTACTGGTAAACTTTCTTGGGACCTGAGAGATAATATTGAAGCAAGTTAAAATCTGCATCTTCAATAAATGATTTGATAAATGGAAGTGGAGGACACAGAAACATTTAAATCTCAAAAACAGAAGAAACATGTAATCCACACAAACCTGAGAAAATATTCTATCAACAATTCGGTAGGTAAGCGCATGGTTACCATATCTGATAAGATTCTCTTTGTCTATCAAGAAATCATGATCTGTATCCAGCTCCCAAAATTTGCAGTATATAACATAAAAATGCTCGTAAGAGAAGTACCTACAGAAAGTTACCAGGGAAAGTAAAAACGGTCAATCCATTTTGGTATGAAAATGTTTTGGCACCTAAAGAGATACATTGTGTAAAGTTAATTAGTATATCTACCTCAAAACCTTGTTGATATCTTCTTCTTCCTCGGCATGCTGCATTGAATCAATTATGTTTCCACGTTTCAGCTCCCTCAAAGTGAGACAACCATTTCCAGATCTATTAATGTAATAATAGATTCTGTATATTACAGTTTCAGCTGGGACATTGAAAAAAAAAAAAGATTATTGTACCCAGAAATCAAGTCCGGTTGAACCAAACTAGCATAGATTTCATGTTTCAACAATCATCATCAGGAGGCCATTAAAAAGAATTTCTCTGGAGTTACTTAATGGTTTATAATTCTTATGAGGTTTTTCTAACTCATTCCAATAAGTTTTGCAGTTAAACTCACAATATAAGCTATCATGTGATAAGATGAAGATATAACTAAATAATTGCTTAATTAACATATTTAGTTAGACACACTAATTGGATTTAAGGGGGATAATTTAGAGAAGAAGAGAGAATATATAGAACGAATCCATTAATTTCAGATCCCTGGAAGGAGGAGGACATAGCAGCAGGAACTGAAAATTAGGGTTGAAAAATGATGTAAAGCAGAAGAAGTGCCAGAAAGTTTGTTACAGATTTCACCAGGAGGTTAAGGAAAAATGTTTGAAAACAAATTGGTTCCATACTCTAATAAGGAGTGTGGCAGCGCAACTGAGGCAGGACAGGTCACATTGAATGGCACTGCTCTACATTCTAATACTATATTAAAATGAACAGGGCTTCTTCACCCTCAAAATCAAAAGCCGGCCAAAGGGAGTAAGATTCCCAAGTTATAAGGTGGGTACATTCTAGTCATTTTTTAAAATTAAGTAATGTCGGACACCTTTACACAAAGCCCTTATGCCAAAAGATTTGACATCTAGATTGGGAAGTTCCAGTGTTTAAATATTTGTAGGTAAACCAACATTAATATTAAATAGACTCTAACACCACATTGAGTTCAAAGAGAAACAACAGGGAACATAGAGAACAAACTTATTTTGTAAAATGTGTATTGCGTAGGTTATACTAGGCTATTACTTTCTATGTTCCTTTTGTCTGTCAGTTTTTTTTTGAAATTTTTTGTTTCTCTTAATCTATTGTTCAATTATACTCTTAATTCTCAATTAATTTTTAATATATTTACACATTTAATGTGAAAAGAAAAAAAACTATATGATTTTATTATGAAATAGAAATGACAATAGGAAACTTCATGACTATTTATTAGGAATTTAGGATCAACAAAATTTATTGCATTTATTGATGTTTACATACAAACCTTAAAAGATAGTTAAAAAGAAATAGGGGTAGAATTTGTTGAAAAGCAGAATAATATATTTTGTATTTATTGTAATAACAGTGGTTTATAAGAATGAAATCTTTCGTTTAGAGGAAAAAACAGAATATACTCTATTCATGTATAATTAACGCAATAATAAGTCTATCTTAACTTGCCACCGTTGTTTATTAGGACACATTTCAGTCAAATGTCTCTGTTTTCTCTTTCTTAACAGTGTTAACTAAGTGCAACTTTCCAGACACTAATTTATCAATGAAACACGAAATGCGTATAAACATGAGATGCATGAATGGAGTATGAAATATAACAATGCTCTTTCTACTGGAAAATCAGAAACAGTGAAACACATGCAAGAAATCCCAGATCACTCTCACAACTTGAGTTCAAAAGCCTATGTATACAAAATTACACATTGCTTTCAGCCTTTAGGAAGTACAACCCCCCACGAGGAAGCTCATTTTTGTCCAATCTTCTCTATAACAAAGAGATGCACTCCATTTCCAATATCATCGTCATTTTTATTTTCAATAGTCATACACGATGGCAAAAAAAAAAAAATTTAGAATATGCCCATTTTTCAGTACCATTTATTCCTTTATCTTAAACACTGTTACTTTGTACTTCACATAAATATATGTTTTATATACACATGTTCTTAATCTGTTGATCCTACTTATGCCAAAGCCTGCAGCTATCCTAATTTCTAATCATATGTAATTAACTTTGTATTTAACATGAAGACCTAGGAATGTATCACAAATATACTGATAGGAACCAGGAAAATGTGATAGAACGACCAACTCCAATTGTATTAATAACAAAGAATCCAGCCAAAATCAATGAGATTCAGAACTTAAAATTAGCAGAACACAAAATCATATCAGCGCAAAAAACGAGAGAGCGCCCAATTCTCTCCCAAGTTCCAGACAATTGCAGCCTACTTCCCCTCTCCCTACAACCTCCTACTTATACTTTCTCTCTCTCTCTTGTTCTCTCTCTCTCTCTAACAACTTGTGCACACCCCACACCACAACTGCCAATTCAGCAGTTAGTTAGGCCCCAATACTCTGCTTATACTGATCAACTGTGATACCTCTCTTCTATCTTCTAACGTAATCCTTAAGCTTAGGGTTCTAATTAGATACCATCACAAGTCACAAAAGGACCAAGCCTGGGTATATTTCATGGAATTTGATTAATAAGTGAAACAACTTCCTCACAATAGGAAAAATAAAGTTTTAAGGAACCAGAAGAATTTAAACTCATTTGCATCAATCTACAATTACAAACCATATCTCTCTTGAAACTCAGGCGTGCTCTGCAGGAACTCCAGCCCTGGATGTGTTGCTAAAAGCTCACGTAGCACTGGCTTAAAATCATCCTGAAATGTAGAAGAGAGTATTGCTTTAACATAAGAAAGATGAATATGAACATAATATGAAAGCCAAGGAAATTAATAAGCAAGGCCCCTTAAAAGGATAAATCCTCTTAGAATGAAACTGGAATTGAATAAATGAAATGACATATTTTAATGTACCTATAGGATAAATAGAAGGAATTTAAAAGAAATAAAAAGTGAAAGGAAAGAAATAGAATTAAAGAAAAAAAAAAACCTGAGTAATGTAATTTAGCTGTGGTTGCTTTAATATTTTGAATATTACCGTAGCTATATCCATTGTCAACATGTTGCCATTAATCCAATATTCAATAAATGCTTTCCTATAGGAACAATAATCACAAATTTAAGTGTAAATAAAATGAAATAATAATTACAAGGCACAAGACCGTTTATCAATAATTACCTACATTATGCGAAAGAAGAGAATCGGATTAACCAATTTGCATTTTTAATTAATACAAAAAAATTCACACAATAATACAATCATTATAACAAATGGTACCAAAAGATGGAAAGTTATTGATAGGTAATTATCAACTAGTAAATAGATTTTGATCAAATGTATAGAAATCTGTTTGTATTATTTGTATATAGGAAATCATGTACTCTAACAAAGGAATTGCCAGAACCCACCCACAGCCTATTCTCCTATTTTTCCTTTCTCATGTACTTACTACAAACTGTACCTTCTCTCTCCCTCCCTCTCCCTCTGCCAGCTAGGCTGAGTTAGTTACAAAAATATTCCCTCCTTTCCTTCTCTCCTCAAGGCCTACCCCCCTGTTTAGGTCTTCTAGAATATACTTTGGCAAATTTGTTGGGCCCCTTTACAATCTTCTCGCTTGTATTTGCATCAATACCCTCGCCTTCAAGACTCACCTTGTCCTCAAGGTGAAAATCAAGAAATACAACTTTAATTTCCTCCAATAGTTCTTAGGAATTGTCACAATTAGGAAGATGTTTCCATTTCACCAATATTTCCAGCTTTCCTTTCATTTTGCCTCACAGCCAGTACTTCTTTAGGAGTAACTTTCAGCTCCCAATCATCAACTAGGAATAGGGGTAAGGGTTGTACATTGGTGACAGCCGCTGCAATTTTTTCTGAAGGGAGACATGAAATACAGGGTCTACTTTGCTCTCTTTTGGTAGTTTCAATTTGTAAGTCGCAAGCCCTATTCTTTCTAGAACCTCAAATGGTCCATAAAATCTCGGACTCAGCTTCTGATTAACTCTCTTGGCTAATTGTTTCAGCTTATATGATTGTATCTTTAGGAAAACTAGCTCTCCTACTTCAAATTCCACATCTCTTCTTTGCTGATTTGCTTGCTGTCTCATCCTGTTTTGTGCTTTGGCCAAATGTTCTTTGAGGTTCTCCAAAATCTGATTTCTCTCTACCATCATCTACTGGACCTCATCTACAGTAGTAACGCAAGCATCTCTCCTAATGATTACAGGTGCCTTTTTTTCCATATAAGGTCTCAAAGGAGTCATCTTGATTTAAGAATGATAATTAGAGTTATACCAAAATTTTGCCCAACTTAGCCATTTAGGCCACTGTTTGGGCTTGTTCCCTGTCACACACCTCACGGGAGTTTCAAGATATCCATTCACCACTTTACTTTGACCATCTCTTTAAGGGTGGTAAGTTGAGCTATATTTCAACTTGGTTCTTGCCAATTTAAAAAGTTCACTCCAAAATGAACTAATGAAAATATGATCTCTATCTAAGACAATGGATTGTGGAAATCCATGTAATTTCACTACATTCTTCATAAACAATTCAGACACCTCTTTGACTATATAAGGATGAGCCAAAACCATAAAATGGGCATACTTAGTGAGTCTATCAACCACCACTAAAATTGTATCTACACCCATAGCCTTCGGTAACCCTCCAATAAAGTCCATTGATACATCACTCCAAACTTGTGTTGGAATAGGGAGAGGCTGTAACAACCCTCCAGGATTCAAGGCTTGATATTTATTTCTCTGACATACACTGCAAGCCTGAACATATTGCTGAATTTTCTGTCTCATTCCTTCCCAAAACACCACCCTCGAAATTCTCTTAAAGGTTCTGAAAAAAACTGAATGTCCTCCTAAGGCTGAATCATGGAATTCATGTAGTATCTTATTAATTCTAGGAGAATTCTTTGGAAGGACCAATCTGCCCTTGTACAGTAGTTTCCCTTGTTTCAGTTCATACCCTGGGAAACTCCCTATTTGGCTCCATATCCCCTGTACAATTTTGCTCAACTGTGCATCAGCCATTACCTCAACTTCCAACCCTTCCCATTGTTGAGTCTGCACTATGGATAGTGCAGTATATTGAAATTTTCTGGATTTCAGGTTCATGCTTATATTTCACTTCAAAATCATAACTCATCAATTTGGAAATCCATTTCTGTGGCTTTTCTCCCATTAGGCATTGGTTTGTAAAAAATTTTAGACTTTTGTGATCAGTGTGTAATATGAAATGCCTTCCTAGCAAATAATGTCTCCACTTTTGGAGAGCCATTATAATAGTCATCAATTCCCTCTCATACACTGATTTACTCAAAGCCCTATCAGATAGTGTATGACTCATATAAGCTATTGGTTTCCCCTCTTGCATCAGTACTGCTCCAATTCCATTGCCTGAAGCATCAGTCTCCAAAATATAGTTTCTCCCAAAATCAGGGACAGCAAGAACAGGCAATGTAGTCATGACCTATTTGAGGAATTCAAAAGCCTGTTGAGCCTCGGGTCCCCATCCAAAATTGTCCTTCTTAAGCTACTGAGTTAGGGGTCAAACCCTTTTCCCATTAGAAATTACATGGCCCAAATATTCCAGCTTTGCTTGAGCAATAAACATTTCTTGTAATTAAACACCAACCGATTCTCTCTTAAAATCACATGCAGATGTTTCAAATGAGTCTCCATATCACTGTTGATTATCAATATATCATAAAAAAACACTAACAAAAACCTCCTAAGATAAGGTTTTAGAATTTGGTTCATCAAAGCTTGAAAGGGGCGAGAGCATTGGTTAAGCCAAATGACATAACCAAGTACTCATAATGTCCTTCATGCGTTTAAAAAGCAGTCTTGGGAATGTCTGTCTCCTTCATCCTAATATGATGATACCCAAATTTTAAATCTAACTTAGAAAACACAACAACAATCCCTAATTCATCCAACAACTCATCTATTATAGGAATAGGAAATTTGTATGGAATTGTGTGTTTGTTTAAGGCTTTATAATCAACACAGAACCTCCATCCCCGTCCTTTTTCCTCACTAATATCATAGGACTAGGGAAAGGGTTTATAATTGGCCTAATAATCCCAACTTTTAACATTTCATCAACTATTATTTCTATTTATTTTTTTTTTTTATATTGAGGGTATCTATAGGGTGGAATATTAGGTATGGGGGCTCCTTCTTTAAGAGAAATAGTATGATCATCCAAACGCTTAGGGGATAAACTAGTTGACTCTTGAAACACATCCGAAAATGTCGTTAATAGCCGATTTACCTCATTGTTTTCAGCTACTGGACTACTCACAAGGCCCTCCATAGACGGATACTTGATCATATAACCTTCTCCCACTTCCTACACTGCTTTAATCATAACTTTCCATGAAGTTTGGTTATGGCAAAGAGAGGGGTCTCCTTTTATTACCAATTCTTTTCCTCCTTGCTTCCATTTAAGAGTTAAATGCCTAAAATTGGCTTTGACATTCCCCAAATTGGACAGCCACTCCATCCCTAATACCACCTCCGGAACTCCTAAGGTCATAAAAAAAAAATTGTTTTCCAACTTATCGCCTTAGACCTTCAACTTCAACGTCTAGCAGTGCCCTGTCTACACCACTTGATCCCCATTTCCTACCTTTACAGTATATTTTGGAGTTGTAGACAACTCCAATCCTAGTTCTTCTACGAATTGGGAAGATATGAAATTAGCATATGCTCCTGAGTCAATCAAAATTAACACTAATCAATGTTTTACTGTGCCCCATACTTTGAAAGAATTATAAGAAGTGAGGCCTTGAGTGCTTTTCAAAGATTGTTGCAACACTTTCACCTCTTGCTTCATTTCTTGCTCTACTTTTTCCTTCCCTTCCTCTTATTCACTTTCCTTATCCCCCTTCTCTAATTCTAATGTAAAATGCTTGAGTCTACAAACATGATCATGACCCCACTTTTCTCCACATTTAAAGCACAACCCCTTCGTGCTCAATTCCCTCAACTCATCCTGCATCAATCTTTTTCACACCCCCTACATTGAGTTTATTTTCAATCTAAGCTTCCACATGGTTTTTGGGCTTTGTCACATAAGTTTTAGTCATTCCTGGATCACTTCCCCAACTACCGGACCCCACCTTCCACTTGTTCATCCTCTCTCCCCACTCATTTGTCACCAACTTCCCTTTCCACGTTGCATTTTTTTTTTCTTCAATATGACTTTGTCCATCAGCTCCGTTAGAGTACGTGTCTCATACAACTTTAGCTCAGTTTGTATCTTCCTTTAGGCCGTTAAGAAAGATGCTCGAGGGCAACACTCTCTCATTTCTTTTCAGAGGTGCAACCAACATCTCAAATTGCTCCCTATACTCCATCACTGCTTCGGTTTGTCTCACACTTAGTCTTGGGCCATTGAGTTCTGAACTAATCCTAGTTGGAACCTCCTAATTACAACCTGTGTAAATTCTTCCCAACTCTTGTTAGTGGTATGCTCCTCCCACCATTGATACCAGTTCAATGCACACCCCTCAAATACAATCATTATTGTATTCAAACATTCCTCCTCAAACACTTCATTGATTTGAAAGTACCTCTCGACTTTCAACAACCACCCATAAGCTTTTTCACCATTGAAAACCGGAATCTCCAACTTCCTACCACTGGTATGACGTTGTTACACACTTCGCTCTAAATAACAAAATGTTAAAATTTTCCTTTGAGTTTGGTGGAAACTTTGCGATTCCAAATATTCCTCAATGTCTTTGTTGTTTTAGTCATCCAAGTTGCAACTGTGTGTGACATTCTCTGAGTCCAAATATCTAAACTTAGAAACTTGTGTGGTGTCTTCTCTCAGTTTTACTTCCAATTGATTTTCCTAATTGCTTGCTATAATTGCAATACATATACTTTGTCTTACATCTCAAGCACAAACCCTTGTTTCCGAAGGTTGTCTCCAAACTCAAGTTTAGAGTTAACCTCTTTCCTTGATTCCTCAATCAACATTATACCATTAAAAACTACAGTTAGGAGTAATCTTTCGTAAATCTTTGGAAAGCACATCCAAAACTAGACTTAAACAGGAAAGGACTCAGGATTGTATTAGATGTTATCCTGTCCTCTGTTTTATAAGCCATGTTGTGGGCCGCTTCCTCCTTCACTATGGCTTCAGCTATTTACGGTCTAGCTTCCCTTCCTTAGAGTCTTGGATAGTTCAATATCATAAATTGTATTGTAAAAATTGGTGCAAAAAATAAAATAAAAAAACTCAATTTTAACAGAAGATTTAGAAAATGAAATATAAGGTAGATATGTTAAATTAAAATTATTACCAAAATTGAAATCAAACAGCAATAAAATATTTAAGCATTGAGGAACCCATGGGCTTAATCTACAATGATGGTGGAGATTTCATTGAGCAATTAAGCATATTGAACATGATGTTGGGAACTATTTCTAACACAAAAAATAGAAAGAGAGAAAGTGAAAAGAAGTAGAAAAAGATAGAGGGAATGGATAATGTAGTTAACAAGTCAAGAAAAGGGTAAAACTTCAAAATATGCTTTTACAAAAATAAATAATGCAATAATCAGGAGCTCAACCGTGATAAACCTTTCTTACTGACTCATGATAATTGTAATTCTATCCCATCACCTAGACCTAACACTTTAAAATTCAAAATAGCTTAAACAAGAATCACAATCCATGACACAAAAAAGTTAACTAGTTTTAGAGAAATAAATTACACACCTTGTTACAACACCAGTTCCATTGTCAATCTTTCGGAAAAGAGAAGTGGAAAAGAAAGATGGCAGCTTGCAAACTTCCTTAGTAATTGTTTTGAATTCTGACATTTCAAGAAAACAAGTACAGTGATTCTCAGAACTGGTTGTTACAACTCTTTATTATATTAGAAAGTGAGTTTATATAACTTGAAAGAGATTTTAGGGAAGAAACATGAACTCTAATTCAAATTTCTTAATTCAAACAAGTACAACAAGATACATTGTACACAACTTTATCACCCTATAAATAATTACAATAATTAATAATAACTCTTTGTATCCCTACACTATCTTAATAGTAATTATTATAGTAGTTGATAATATCTTCTCGTCTTTACCCTGATGCAAGTGAATGGATATTAATCATTCTCAACTAGCATGTAAGACCACAAAATTGTTCTATGGAAAATCCCTTTATAACAAGTATCCTAGTAGTTATAAAGTCATTATCTAGTTTTTTTTTATGATGTGTTATTCTATCTTCACATGCTAGGTCATATCATGTTGGATAGTATTGTGAGAAATACTAATAATTGATTTATTGTCACAAAAAGTCATGCATTCTTCATGTTTTACTTTAAGATCATTCAAAATATTTTTTAACTATAACAATTCACACACTCTTTTTGCCATAACTCGATTTCAACCTTTGCACGCAACCTTGCAACACAAACTTTCCACCCAAGAACATAAAAAACAAAAAAGGGTGGACCTTCCATCTAGAATGGTCCGCATATCTCCATGTTTAATTTTCCATCTTTCTTAAACAACAATATTCTTCCTAGACTTATCTTTAAATACTAAAGATTCTATTCACAACCTATAAATGTTGCTCTCTTGGATCATGCATGAATTGATTAATCACACCCATAATTGTGTTTATTCTAGTGCAGGTCAAGTAAATGAGCTTCCTTACAAGTCAATGATTCTGGCCCTTCACTATAGAACCATCTTCACTCCATATTCTATGGTTTAGTTCTATAAAAGCTCTAGTAGTCTTGTAATCAATTTTATTTGTTTCATTGAGAAGATCTAGAACATATTCCTTTGGGAGATAAAGATGACTTTTTTTTAATAGGCAACTTCTATTCCAAGAATGTAATTCAATTTTCTTAGATCATTCATCTCAAAGTGAGTAGCAAGCTTTTCTTTCAAGATGAATTTCTCATTCACATTGTCACTTGTGAGAATCATGTCATCCACATAAACCTAGAGAAGAGTAAGTTTCCCTTCCAAGGAATGTTTGATAGACAAGGTATGACCACCATGATTCTACCGATACCCTAAATTCATAGCCTGAGTAAGTCATCCAATCTAAGCATAAGATGACTACTTGAGTCCATATAAAGCTTTCTTCAACCTATACACCTTCACTCTTCAATAGATCCAAAGCCAGGTGGGATCTACATGTAACTTCTTCCTCTATATGCTCATGATAGAAAAAACACATTTTTCACATTAAATTGTTGTGTATCTCCCGACCAAAATTTGATGTCAATGAGAGGATGATCCATACTATATTCTTCTATGCCATTTGAGCAAATGTCTTTTCGTAATCAATGCTCTAAGTTTGAGTATATTCATTTGCAACTAACCTTGCTTTGTAACAATCCAATGTGCCATTGGACCACTATTTCACAATGTAGATTCATTTGCATTGTGTGATCTTTTTATCCTGCAATTGTCAACAATCTCTCAAGTCTAATTATTTTCTAAGGCACCCATCTTTTCATTCATGGCTTGAACCTAACTTATGCTTTAATTCCTCTTGGATAGATGAATGGATTTTGACTGCATCAATGATAAAGAGAACTCTAGTATAACATATAAAGGTGTTTAGTGGACACAAATTGAGAAATAGGATACTTAGTACGAGACCATTATCCTTTTCCCAATGCAATAAGTAGCTCATCAAGGTTAGACTCAATTATTATTCCAAGAGTTTTCTAAAGGTTCAAAATTAAGAACACTTACCTTTGGCTCAAATCATTGGAATTCTTCTTAGATCAAGTTAGGTTCCTTTTGTGGATGACTAATATTTGGTGTTGATTCTAACTTAGGAACAATATCATTTTTTATAATAAGCATAACCAATGAATATGAACTTAACAACTATAGATCTAATTTCCCACGAAACTGACTATGAATATGGATAAAGACAACACAACCAAAAACATGACTTTGGAGGCTAGAGAAGAAAGGAACAAATGAAAAGAAAGACGATATAGATTTAACATGACTAAGGTTATCTAGAACATGAGATGATAATTTGTTAATAAGGTAGGCAATAAGGTTACAAGACTTAAGGACGAACATTTGGAAGAAAATAACCATATTCACTTGAAGGAGATGTCTACTTTTTCTTTTAGTAATTTCATTCTATTATGGTGTATCCAGTACAAGACCCCATACATCAAAGTGAATCAAACCAAAAGGGCAATCACTTTTCGATTACTAGGAGAGTATGTGGCACGAAGGTGTTTTGCAAATTGACATATATCATACTTATATGATTCAACAAACACTTGATAATAAAGAAGGAAGCATGGACCTAAGGACATAAAATGACCCATGTCCAAGACAACAACGAAGAAGCCAAATTTAAGAAGATTTAGAAGTAGTGCGGGACAAGAGACAAGAGGTTCTCATTTCTTTAATAATACTACCTTGGTTTCAAGCTTTAAAGGTAATATAATGTCCTCGTTCCTTAACTGTTCCAATCGTTTTCCTCATGGCTACATCCTAAAAAACACAATGATAGGGAAAGGTTACAAAACCCTTTAGGTCATGAGTAAGTTTGTAAATAAACACAAGATTATTGGATAGCTTTGGAACATGAAGGACATCTTGTTGATAGATGGCAGTAGATAAATATCTCCATGTTTAGTCATTGGGACACGAGTCCCATTAGCAATAGTAATATGATTACCAGAAAGAGAAATACATGACAATATGTAAGGAAAATAAGGAGTCATATGGTAAGCAACATCAAAGTTCAGAATCCAAGAATCCTCAAACACTTTTAGAAACATAGAGTTGTATTTCTTACCAATCATGGTTAGAGAGCAAGTACCAAAAGAGGGAAGTCTTTCCTTACTAAGAACTTGAGCCCTAATGAAGTCATATTTGAGATTCAATCCTGAAAAGTACTTGAAAATTCGAAACTGTTCAACAAACTAAGCCAATGTAGTGACATTTCTATTATTTTCAAGCTTCAAATTTTTATATTAGTCCATGGTAGTTTGCAACAATACCCTCTTTCACACTGAATATTTTACTATCTCACTCATACCAAGTAAAGATATTTTGTCGTATAGAGTAAGTATTTCTAGAATATCCTAAATTTCCCATGCAATAGAGTTGTAGTTTCGACCAATTTTTGAGGTTATGGACCCCATACAAATGTTATGATCCGAGAGTTATCATTGTCCCAAGTTTGAAAGTTCAGTTCATCCGGTGGTTTAGGGTTTCAATGTGGTTTAAGTTTCCTCATACCCTTCAATGTGCACATTATGAATTGTGCCCATTGAAGGTAGTTTTGATCATTGAGACAATTATCTTCACGCAAATGCAAAAGATCAACGTTGCATAATAGGGAAGCTAAAAAAGATGCAGTAATTACCATGCTAGAATATGTTAATATTAAGTAAAAACAAGATAAAAAAAAAATTAACTATGATCAATGCCTCTAGAAGAAGAGCCACTTCAATAAGAGGCAAACAAACCAAACAATTCTTTACTGTTACTTTGACAACACCAATAACGTTGCACAGGCAAACAGAGATGCATGAGCCTTGTGTTTAGTGAGAAGAAGACGCACATGAAGCTTTCTTCGAGGTCACGACATTGGGAACGGACTAACAATCTTCCAGTGGCCAACTATAGAAGGAAATCACAACTAAGGTAGCTAAGGTTTGAATCCAAAAGCCAAGCCCCAAAGATCGATAGCTCTAATACTAACTTGAAAGAGATTTTAGGCAAGAAACAAAAACTCTAATTCAAATTTCTTAGTTCAAACGAGTACAAGAGGATACATTAGATAGAACTCTATCACCCTAGAAATAATTACAATAATTAATAATCTCTTTGTATCCCTACATTATCTTAATAGTAATACTTAAAATAGTTGATGATATCTCCTTGTAACTCAACAATATAGAATATCACTTTCTAATATCTGACAATATTTAAAATAAGTTATTTTTGCTCAACATAAAGAGGGTGTGAATTTGTTATACTAGATTATGAAACTTATTTAAAAACATATTCCCCAGTTGCACCAAAATGGCCCTTCAAACTATATCAGCTACTTATGTGTGAAATCTCACCATGCACCTGCAGGCCATCCATATGTTCATGGAATAACCCATCAATTTTAAACAAGCATTGTTCTTTCAAATCATTTGGAGGTGGACGTCCATTTTGAAAGTAGAACTGCAAGTGAACAAAAATTTGATATAAACATTAACATGGAAGAAAACAAGAGAGAAATAGAGAGGAAAAAACACAAAAGTAAACCCAGTACAATAGAAAAGTATCATCAAACAAAATCTAAGAGAACTAGACAGAAGTTCTTAATAGGATTGGTATAAATTATTTGCTACACATTCATGGGGGATTGGGCAGCAGGCGCTGGGTGTGTCCTTCAATTTTGGACAAACTTCTTATAATTAAGTAACAAGCTTAGGCAAAACCACTATGTAAAAGTTTTGCGATAATCTGCAGGTCATGCATTTCTTTGGAACGTATGGTTGTTGTGCAAAGTCACATATTTAAGGATGTCTCTGTCCCTCGACTTGCTATATAAATATATGGGATAGAATTGTTTATGGACTTTTTTCTGTGTTCTGCAAATGTCTGTCTGGGTAAAATTTGTCATTTCGTATATAATATATGTAATGGGATTGGGATTGAGTGTCTTGGCTCAATTTTTTCTTTTTCTTAGGTATTTTTTTTTTCTGTGTTTTGGAGGATAACTTATCCTCTGTTTAGATATGCTTTCCTGAGTTTCTTCATTTCCTTGCCTCTTCTATAATTCATTTACTAATTAAAAAAAAAAAAAAGGAATATCAGACTGCCTTAACCTGTGGTATCACTTCTTTAACTGGCTCACTTGCAACTTTCAAAGGGGATCCCAAATTGGAAAGGCCAACTCTCTGTTTCACAACGCGAGGGGAGCCAGATGTACTTCTTGGTGAAAGAGGTGGAGCAGTGCCAGCAGGAAACATGGAAGGCAAAGAATTATTGGCAGCATTTGGACTAGAGCAATTCACGGGGACATTCAAGGGAACACCTGACTTTGCTTCATTGAGTAACGATGTTACCTGCATAATTAAAAAGGGAGATCTTAAAACAATGTCACCAACTTTGCATTTGATATTTTGTGGAGAACAGCATAACAGTTTCTGGAAACCCGAAAGTAAAATACAAAAACTATAGCATTTTCAACCAGCCTTTCACACATTTCAATTATCACCAAGAACTTATTTATTTATATTGCTCTGGAGTTGGTAGGATTTAGAAAAAAATTTCTCGTAAGAGATGGTGTTATGACAGTTGAAGCTGATTACAACACAATAATATGGTGGGTTTAGCCACACATGCATACTTGAAAAGTGATAATTCTCACAACTGTGTGGAATGCTATCAACAACGCAACGAGTTAACGTAATGTAAGACTGATGCATCTTTCCCCGAAACCTTAATTATTTAAATAACCATTGCCTTGTAACCACGGATGCTATATCACCGCTTTCAACACCACCACTGTTTTATTTCAAATCACTTCATTCTTCATGCACATGTATACAAACAAATATATCAACGAAGGGAACAAAAGCAAACTGAGACTCCTCAAATTAGCAATGTGGCAATTTTAAGATTCCGAAACGGAAGGAAGCGTACCAATCGATTACTTTCCGGAAGCGACAACCACTGGTCGAAGAGCTTCTCGATGAAATCGTGGTTAGACTTGAGTGCCAAGGCGGAAAACTCTGGGAGCTGCAACAATTCAACGTCCAACGACGCCGCATCAGTGACGACCTCCATGTTCATCTAGACCAATCTCGTTACCGTATCTCTCATTCACAATTCAAATCACTGCGCACAGAGATCAACGCTAATCCTGAGTTTGATTTTTCTTTTCTCCTTCAAAAATAATTGCAGTCAGTTGAATTCCAATGCCGTCGACGAATCGAAGCCAATAACAATGAGATACAGTATCGAAATGGAACAAATGCGGTTGAGATATTCAGATTGGGAGCTTCGGGGGCACTACCCTATATCTTTTCGGAATTAAAATTTAGAATCAATCAAAACAACATATAATATGTACGGTGATGGTGATCTGATGAAAGGTGTGGAATGGATAGAAAGTGATCGAAAAGGAGCGAAAACTATTGGGAGAGAAGGAAGAAATAATTGTGCAGAAACAATAAAAGAAAGAGAAGGAGGTGGAGAATTTGTTGCTTGTAATTTTTTTTATTTTGCAAAAAAAAATGAAATTAAACAGTAAATTATGTATTTTTTTCTTCTATTATTTATTTAGTTAAATTTATCCTCTATTGATCAATATATTCATCAAGTTTCTCGATTTCTAATACGTAAATTATTCTATCTACTGAGATTCTTGATTTTATAAATTAATAGTCACATTATTCAGTTTTTAAAAAATGAGAAATTTAATCAAATTAAATAAAACAAATAAATAATTGAAATGAAAAGATAATTACAGCAAAAAATTATTTTATCAATACAAAATCGTTTTATTTTGGATTTTAAAACAATTACTTTGATTAATAAAATTACTGTGTAGCACAATTTACAAATAAATAATAATATAAAAATTATATTCACAATGTATCTTAATGAAATTTGAAAATTTGTATATTGATAGATATTTGATAAAAATATAATGTTGTAGGGATTAAAGAATATTTGAAAATTAAAAAATTATTTAATTATATTTATTTGGTTAAAAAAAAGTGATAGGATGACCAATAAAAGTTGTCGCGTTTGTCACATGTACAATACAGTTTTCAGAATCCAATTAAGATGGTAATGGTCTTACGTAAAGTCAACAAGACTTGCATCGTCTTCTCCAAACAAATTTTATACTCTTGATCAAATACATCCTGCATATAATGGTCTTACTATAAACACAAATAGTAACTACTCATAAAAAGCAGTTTATAAACTTTTGTTGTTTGTATACTAAATTTTGGGCTTGGTGTGGGCTTTGTTTTCATCCATGAACACAAAAAAAAAGGATAAAACAAATTTACTGAAAAATAAAATAATAATTGAGGTCTCCAATCCATTCCCTCTTTGCGTTGGATTCACACCCAGTTGCAATCTTTCCTCATTCTTTCAATTCAGCCCCTTATCCACAACCAACATCCTAAATTTTCCTCTGCCACTTCCCTTGTGAGTCTGTCTCTATACCCGTTTGTCCATGAGTAGAGAAACCCGCAACTTGAACCAACACCATCGTCAATGACCACAGTTTCAACGGAATTCCTGTCAAATACCCTCTCACTTCGAACTAACTCGAAGCGCGCGTGGCGTCAAAACCCCAACACTGTCATAACCTGCAGAATCCCGGTTCTAAATGAAGACAACCCCAGCAAGCGAAAGAACAACAACTACAAGGGAAACGCGAGGGTTAGTTCTTCCGACACAAGACCCCGACACTACGACTTTCGAGACATCCATCACGTCAAAGCCCTCAACAGGTTGTGCAAAACGGGCAAGTACACCGAAGCCCTCTATTTTCTGGAGCAAATGGTGAAGAAGGGTTACAAACCCGACGTCATTCTCTGCACCAAGCTCATCAAGGGCTTGTTCACTTCCAAGAAAGCAGATAAAGCGGTGCGGGTCATGGAGATTCTGGAACAGCACGGTGACCCTGATGCTTTTGCATACAATGCGGTGATTAGTGGGTTCTGCAGGAGCGATAGATTTGATGCTGCAAATGAGGTGCTTCTAAGAATGAAGAAGAGCGGATTCTCCCCTGATGTTGTCACCTACAACATTCTCATTGGGAGTCTCTGTGCAAGGGGAAAGCTTGATTTGGCTTTGAAGGTTATGGACCAGTTGATGAAAGACAACTACAACCCCACTGTGATCACTTTCACTATCTTGATAGAAGCGACTATCATACACGGTGGCATTGATGAGGCAATGAAGCTTCTTGACGAGATGATGTCAAGAGGGCTTCAACCTGACATGTACACGTACAATGTGATTGTGAAGGGCATGTGCAAACAAGGGTTGGTGGATCGAGCGTTTGAGTTTGTTTGCAATTTGAGCACCACCCCGAGTTTGAACCTCTACAACTTGGTGTTGAAGGGTGTTTTGAATGAGGGAAGATGGGAAGCTGGGGAGAGGTTGATGTCTGATATGATGGTGAAGGGTTGCGAGCCGAACGTTGTGACCTACAGCGTTTTGATTAATTCGCTTTGCCGTGATGGCAAAGCTGGGGAGGCTGTGGATTTGTTGAAGGTTATGAAGGAGAAGGGATTGAGCCCTGATGCTTACTGCTATGATCCGTTGATTTCTGCGTTCTGCAAAGAGGGGAAAGTGGATTTGGCAATAGGGTTTGTGGATGAAATGATGTCTGCTGGGTGGTTGCCTGATATAGTCAATTACAACACCATCATGGGGTCCCTGTGTAGGAAGGGAAGAGGTGATGAGGCTTTGAGCATCTTTAAGAAGCTTGATGAAGTGGGTTGTCCTCCAAATGTGAGTTCTTATAACACAATGTTGGGAGCACTGTGGAGTGGTGGGGACAAAATTAGAGCACTGGGGATGGTTTTGGAGATGTTGAACAACGGTGTTGATCCTGATAGAATCACCTATAATTCACTCATATCTTGTTTGTGCAGAGAGGGGATGGTGGATGAGGCCATTGGGTTGTTGGTGGACATGGAAAGGAGCGAGTGGCAACCTACTGTTATTAGTTACAACATTGTTCTTCTTGGGTTGTGCAAAGCACACAGAATTGTGGATGCCATTGAGGTGCTGGCTGTTATGATTGACAAAGGATGCCAGCCAAATGAAACAACCTACACCTTGTTGGTCGAAGGGGTTGGTTATGCTGGATGGCCAAGTGATGCTGTGGAGCTGGCAAAATCCCTTGCTAGTATGAATGCTATTTCTCAAAATTTATTCAGACGTTTAAACAAACAAAACCTTTTCCGTACCTGATGCGCAAGTACTGGGAGCTCCCTTCATCAGATTACACTAAATTGTCGGGCACAAAGCTGATTTATTTGGGTCTTCTAATTGAGAGTTTGTTCAGATTATTTTAGTGTGTCATTTGCTAGTTTACTGTTTTTAGAGATGCAGTTTGAAGGACAGAAAATATCAAACGGACTGTCATTACCTCTGATGAAGATGTCGTAACTCATTACCGAGTCTCTGTTTTTTAAGTACAGAGTTTTTTGCCTGATTGTTATCCGATGACTTGTAAAGAAAATTTAAATCTGTCAAAATCTATAGCTTCTGCAAGTACCATTGCATGAATATATTAGATCTTGCTAATCAATGATTAACAAATCAAAAAGAAAAAAATATTTAAAATTATCCCGGAATGTATTAAAAGAATCATAAGAGAATGTATTTATATTACAAAAACGTATTAATTTTTTAACAATTACGATTAGCATTTGCCAACATATTATGATTCATGCAATAAATAAAATTATGTAATGAAGATTAAAAAATAACACTTAAAACATGACGCTTATGATAAACTAAGGAGAAAATGTTGTACATCCTAAAATCAATGCTGGCAGGTGCTTGATTGAGCAAAATCAAATCAGCATGACTGCTAACTTGATAATACTGCACTCTTTAAATTACTTAGTTGAGCACCTCAGATACCAAAAAATATCGAATGCACTATTTTTTATGAAATAAATGCCACTATTTCAACCTTCCCTTTCCTCTTTACATGTTTAATAGGATTCTCTCTGAACGAAAATATCAGAACTCCATGACCTTTACTTGAAAATCTTTTTGTAATCCGGATTGAGGTTTCTTCCCACAACCTTAGAACATTTGAACAAAATCTTAAACACCAAATGATAAAATAAAGATTAAATCTATAATTCAGTCCCTATTAAAATTTAAAATCTAAACCCGTTCAAGAGCTAAATTATATGATTAGCCTAAAATAACTCACGATATCACAAACTTCAATCCCTAAAATTAGATGATAAAACTAAAATGCTCTTAGATTGTATAATACAAGTCAACGGAAACGATCTTATAACAACCATAATTAAAACATGGATAAAACTTATTGTTATCCATCGAGTTATCTAAAATCTACAAACTTGTAGTTTAGATTGACTTTAAATTAACTTGACACGAGAACATTCTTCATGTCAACTTCAACTACCGAAATTTTAGTTCATGCTGAGAGACAGTATTAGCCAATACTGTCGGATCTTCAAGCCCCACGCAAGTAACTGTCAAAATGTTCCAACGTGCTTTCCTACATTGGCAAATACCCAAAGTAAAATTAGCAAGGCATAACGCAAACAACAGTGTTCTTTCCAGTTTTCAGGTAGAGAAAGAGCGCGGCAAAGATTCATTACATGAAACTTGCACCGGAACAAACTATAACATTGAATAACAAGGTAAGACTACGACAATAAATTTAGTAAACCACAGTTTTGGTCCTTGAGATTGTACGCGTTTTTCACTTTGATTTCCTGTTTCTGCAAGTTTAACTACTAATCCCGGAATTCACAAAATGTAACAAAATGGCGTTCCTTTATTTGAAGTCCTATTCCAAACATTTTTTTTGGTGACATTAAGGTGAAAATTATGTAAAGATTAATTCATTGATTGTTACAGTCTCAAGGACCAGAGTAGAGTTTACCAAATAAAAATATAGTAAAATACCTTCCAACTTGATCTAATTTCCGACGTCAAAAGGTACTGTACGATGACAGCAGAAAATGAAATTAAAGTTCAAGGAAGTGCTAGATTTAACAAAAAAGAATGGAATGGAATTATATTAGATTCCATTATTTGGATGTTTAAAGAGTACAGTGAAATTAAACGGAATGCACTAGTGTCCATGACATCTTTTTACATCCATCTAATTCGAGGATATAATATGGAATTTGTCTTCTTTTTTACATTAAATTTCATTATAAAAATTCCAAACAATAGAACAGTAAGTTTACTCCATCTTACTCTCTATTCTATTTTGTTCCATCTCCTCACATTCCATTGCGTTTACCAGAAGATATCCAAACATAAACATATCATTACAAGAAACGCCATGCTCTAGTAGCCTTATGGCATATAAAACATGTACAGTTCATTTGATTAATGTCAACAACAGACAATATTTTAGCTTAAGATCAATGGCAGTAAATTGTGCTTAATTTAGTAAAATATAATAACACAAAAGGTGACTGCAAATTGTCACTATAGACCAGAAAGAACGAGGTTTAAATTAACAGAAAGAAAGGCAAATGCACTAAAGCAATATCATTGTAACACATTTGTTCGAATGACTATAAAATTAGCTGCATCAAATAAAAAAAAAAATCATGAACTAGAAACATAAAACTTGTGGAGGAAGCCATCATTGCATTCAAACAATAATTGACAGATCTCACAAAGAAGGAAATGGATCTTCATTTGCTTATGGGAAGATTTGTTCCCCAAATTTTTTATCTCACTCGAGTCTCTACCATGATTAGAGAGAAAAAGAAACAGAGAGAACTTAGGGAGTGTGGCACCCATCCAAATATTAAGGATCAAAACCCCACAAGCAAAAGGGATCAACAGAATTACCTGAGAGGCACGTATAATCTGTACATGGTTGGCATGAAACTTTGCCAATCTTTACACAAACTCTAACTAATTCAACGTGATTTCTTTTTTCAGAATATTCCATTTGATCAATGTCTGATGCAAATCATTAGCCTCTCTTAGCATACCCCCATCAGCAACAGTTTTGATTACAGCAGAATATATCTTCTCATCTGGATTGCATTGACTTTTCACCATCAAATCTAGAACTTGAATTGCAATACCAACCTTCTTTTGTCTGCATAATCCAAGGATTACACATCTATAAACAGTAACTTTAATCCTTTGTTCTTTCCTACACATCTCCTTTAGCAGCTCTGTTGCTTCTTCAAATCGATCTGCCCCGCAAAACCCCCAAATTAAACTACTGTGTGTAATTTCATCAGGAATGATTCCCTTTTCTACCATTTCATCATACAATTCTTTTGCTGAGTCCATAGATCTCAATCTAGCCAACCAATCGATTAAAATATTATAGGTGACTAACCCAGGAGAACAGCTAGTACCTTCCAATAGGTTAATTAATTGGATGCCCTCATCTATAAATCCCTCCTTGCACAAACCACTTATAAGAGTATTGTATGTTATAATGTCTGGCGAACAGTTACCAGCAACCATTGTGCTGTAGAAGCTTATGGCACGATCCAAAAGGCCAGATTTACAAAATCCATTTAGAAGAATATTGTACGTAATCTGTGTAAGAGGACGGGAAGTCTCATTCATAATCTTCACAACATCATCAACTTCATTCCAATATTGATGATTAATGAGAGAGTGGATAAGCGTATTGTATGTCACAGCATTGGGCTGCATTCCATGGGATAGAAGATTTGATATAACCAAAGCAGTATCCTCATATTTCCCTTGTTTGGAAGTCAAATTTACAAGAGAGTTATATGTAATGATATCAGGATAACAGCCTTCCATTGCCAAATCTTCCAGTACTTCTAGGGCTCGATCAGCCCCACAATATTTGCAAACCAGCTCGATAAGCACCGTATAGGTAATCAGATAAGGAGGGCAGCCTTTTTTCAATTGGTCTCTCCAGAAACTAACTGCTTGATGATAATTCCCCTTATCAAATAGGCCGCGAATTATTGTATTATAAGTAACCACATCTGGGGAGCAACCACTCGAGCTCATATCTTCTACCAGATCAAGGGCAGATCTTAAATGACCTTTTTTACACAGGCCACCAATAACCATGTTGTATGTAATCGTGTCAGGAATGCCACCAGACATTATCATTTTGTTCATTATTTTGCAAGCTTCACCTACAAAACCTTTTCTAATAAGACCTCGGATCAAATTCGTGCAAGAAGGGAAATGTGGAATTTGACTTTTCCTCGCCATGACATCAATCAACCTTGCCGCAACTGTTAACTTTCCCAGACTACAGAGCCTCTGAAGAATCTTATTGTTGGCCATTTCATCGTTTTCAACAAATGGTGCCTCTGGTGACAGAACTTGAGAGTTTCTAGAATTGTTTGAATCCATTAGTTCCCTGGAATTTCTCCTTACACCAACATAATCACTTTCTGAGCCGGGACCTTCATGGTCAACTTCAATATCTCTATCAACTAACACACTTCCCTGAAAACTTCTACTCTGCAATCCTTTCCATGAAAAAGAATATTTAGTTGTACAAAAGTAATCACCAAAATAAATTCGGTGTAGGGTAGGCGGTTTTTTTCTTGAACTATGATCCAAAGCAGAACTAGCACCCAAAATACAGCTCTCTTTTTTGTTACAACCAAGCAGACCATTCAAAGAATGGGAGCTGAAAATATTGTTTTGCAGAGTAGCTATATGTCCCATCTTAGTTGTTCAGTCAGGTATAGTAATTGGACTCTCAAGCTATAAACAGCTGGGGCGCAACTTTTCATTCACCTGTCCATTTTTCACTGGATAGGTGGGACTCAGCTGTAAAAGTTCAAAACAATAAGAGGTATCTTTGTTACAATAAACACATACGAAAAACAAAAGAAGCATACAACACAACTAGAGGTACACGGTCATAATATAAAGGAAATTCTAATAATCATCTTGTGACAATATAGTAACATCATTTGTTAGCATCCTCTAATTACTTAGAGTAAAGAAACTGTAAAGATGAAATAACGAAAGCTGCACTGCTTCTCCCTACATTACAAAGCAATATATATATATATATATATATATATATATATATATATATATATATATAGGGGTTATTGTTTGAAATGAAAGATAATAACACCGAAAGGATAAGATAACATAACAGGAGAGAAGAGTGAAGAAGGACAATTTTGATTAGAGTAATAACAACAATCAATCGTTATAGATTGTAAAACGGCCATAGTTGGGCAAAGTAATTTGTACAGATTAGAAATTGGAATTATGGTTGAAAAATTGCACTTGAACGTTATCCAAGAGTTGGAAAATTGTGCGCAGACTCACCAGTAGAAGTGACGGTGAGAAGTAGATGCAAAGACGTGAGGGAGAACCGTGTAGAAATGCAGCAACTTCGGAGGGTGAATGGTGGTTTGTGGCGGCAATGGAGAAGGCGAAGGGTTGGGGGTTATGAGTTTTTATATCTAAAACCCACAGGCCTACCCTGCAACACAGCAAGCGGCGGAATTTGTACATTATTATTTTAAATCTCTGTTTATATCAACTTGGGTTTTATATTCTTTAATATAATACTTGTACCAAGTTTATTAGGTTATAAAAAAAATTCAATTTTTTATTAATATTGATTTATTATAAAGATTCCCATTTCCAATGAAATTGTGACTAAAAATGAATTATAATTATTAAATAATTCATTATAATATATATATATATATATATATATATATATATATATATATATATATATATATATATGTGTGTGTGTGTGTGTGTGTAATATAATTTGAATGTTTTTATTTTACAAAATAGTTACCTCCGTTAGATCAAAATAAAAATAGAGCATGATTCATTTTCTCAAACTATTTTAAATGATTTTCAACTTATTATATAGTAAAATATGGGTCCAAAACACCAACACCAAAGTAAGAAAATTGCACGATTATACTTAACTCACCTATTATTTTATATTACGTTTTTTATCCCTAACATCAAGTTACCATACCAACAAACCAAACCGTTCATTGACTAAAATACGCTTCTAATTATTCATTTAACACGCCTCATATTGATCAAAGGAAACACATACAATTGTAATTGTTTCAAGTTTTTTATTGACTTGGAGTGAGGAATTTTAGTGAGATTGTGCATGAGCTGCCACCTATTGCAAGTAGAAAAGTATTACTCTGATTTCATTCGCGAGCTTGCAGGTGTGATTTTATTTTTTTTAGTAATATTTAGTGATAGAAATTTTAAAATATATTATTTTTATATAAGTATCATATTAATAATACTAATTCATATTACTAAATATACTTACATATAAAGCATATTTTCACCTTCGAAATTTAAGCGCTTTAAAATATATATTACGAATAATTATTTAAAGTGAGGATTGGTTGAATAAATAGTAAATTTGAAAAATTATAATGGTTTATTTTGTATAATACTTATGAATAGCATTAAACGAATATATATATATATATATATATATATATATATATATATATATATATATTTATTTATTTTTTCCTTTTTACATAGCATTGGTTAATATGTGTGAAATGACAAAATTTCTATTTGCACCTGTAGTCAAGGTTAAACTTATTGAGTCACGAAATTTCTATTTGTACCTCGAGGTGGAACTTATGAAGCGGCGATTTCTTTTATTTGTACCTAACTCTATTCAAGATTGAGGTAAAATGCTTGTTATGTCATTACTCACTTAAAATGTTTGTTGCCTATTCAAGATTTCTTTCATTTGACGATTATTTGTACCTCTTATTAAAATTTGAGCTGAAATACTTGCTGTATCACGTGTGACACCAAAATAAGAAGTATAGTATCGCTATTAAGATGATGACAAAAAATAAAATAAACTAGGTCAAACAAAACATTAACTATGATTTTTAAAAAATGGTAAATATTAACTAATGTCCTAGAGACTTAAGAAATTTAAAGTAAAATTTTCATGGGAGACTAAAACCGCACTTTCTTATCATTTTTAATGTTTCCCATGATTTTGAATGAAAGTCTTCCGCTTTTCATTTCTTAACCGAAGAGTATTGGTTAAACAAAATTCTTTAAAAAAATGAAGCCCAAGCTTTGTCGGTCAAATGGCACAAAATATACATTTTCATCGACTGACATTTAAAAGTTTAGCTCGTAGTCTGTTCAAAGATTAATTTCATGTAAAAACTTCATTTAGATCTACATGATACAGAAGCTCATAGAAATAGCGGGAGGAACTCCACATGAACATATTATAAACCATAAAAATGGTCAGACTAAGTTCCACGAGTTAAGATCAGCTACATGACATTTAATATGAACAGGACATTCATAATAGTTCATTTAAAAGTATATTTTACAATTGATAAATAGATCTAGATTAATATAATATATAAAAGAAATAAAACATATCATTTTCATATGTTCTAGCGATTTTAATAGAGTAATAGTACTTTGGAAAAAATGATTTATTTGTACTTTGACAAATATGCTTAGCATAAAAATATTTTTAATTGTCATATTTAACCAACATAATAAATATAACTTAGTATAAATCCCTATTAGGCAGGGTGTCCTGTTGCAAACAGGTGTCACAACCGCTAAAATTAGGGACAAGACAAAAAAGCGCCAGAGGTCGTTCAAAGAACCATTGGGCTTAATTTTAACAGAAGATTGTGTACAAGTGCATTGCATAAATCGAATTAATTGGTAATATAGAGGGGAAAAATTTGAAGAAAACAATAGTCACCAGCTGCTGTAGAAGATATTGGGCAGGAAGACAGATTGATTTAGAAAAGGGTCATAGCTAGACTTAGCTTATTCCGTGCTTCCCCATACATGGAGTGAGTAAAAGTTGATTTATTACCAACAGTTTGAAATCTTTATCTTCGATACCAACTTCACGTCATCAAGGCGGACATTGATGCGGAAAGTGAGCTGGCTACGGCTAGATATAAATAAAGGATTAATAGGTTTGGTTTAGCTTAGAAGATTAGATAGGTTTAGTCGATACTCATCAATCAAACAACGCAAGCACCACCCAATTAATCACAAAAATATTATTCATAAGCCACATATCTCCAATCCAATCATGCATCAAATTTCTATTAAAATTTTTTCCATTAAAATAACATTGTTTTCATCAGCCAGTTTGTGCCGGATGGGATTTTCAAATTGTATTTACGCTTCTCCCCCGAGCACCAACCTGAGAACACAGTCTAAACTTTTTCAGTAATTAAATACGCAGCAGGTCAATTTTTATACATTTTCAGAGTTTTACTTCTTCGTCCCACTGCATATTCCTGAAATGTAAACATCAGAAATAAGGTACAGTACTTTGCAAACAGTTCCATGGAAATAAATATCTGAACGGGAGGACCTTCTGTCGGTTCCATAGGAAATACATTTCACATGAAACGAGAAATGGCATTTTGTAAACAGTGTTCAACTTAGCCAAGTTGGTAACCTGATTTACACAGATATTTGGCCGTTCTCACTTGTGCAGCACCCCTTTCCTAGACATTTTTGGCTTCTTTTGAATGTGATTCTGCCAGGTAAACAATAAAGAACAAAGTTGGACATTTAGGAGAATAGATTGTCGGAACAATTTCAAATCATTGACAAAGAAAATTCATACCTTCTGTTTCTCCAGTGCTTCATAATCAGTCCTCTCCTTCCAATTACTCTTGCGTAGTTTTATTGGCCGATTTCCAACATATTTACCTGAAATGGAGACGTCAAAGTCAAAATACACATTTCATTGCATTTGCTAAATATTGTCAACTTACATTGACAGGATTTACTGACAAATAGCATTAACTAAACTCATGAATGAAAGAAACAATGATCCATCATGAAGTTTTGGATTGTCAACCTATCAGTTTCGGGTCAATATTATCTGCCATAGAATATTTATATTGAATCAAAGCATTACTCAGAAGAGTAACATATATGTCAATGTATTTAGACGTTACGGATTAATACTTAAAGAGAGACCCATCTGAACTTACTAACCATTCATTTCTTTAAGAGCAGCAGCAAGGTCAGAAGGATTGGCAAAGCTAACAAATCCATAACCTTTTGTTTTACCAGTCCGCTTATCTCTGACAACCTAGAGAAGATTAAAATACCTTAATCACATCACATTACAATGCACCACAAACGTGTAAACAATTATTGTTAAGTTTGCTTATAGACAAGCACAACAAAGCAATTACAAATTACAAACAGATGACTTCAAACCTTAAGTTCTTTAGATGGAATTAAATGTCTCCATTAAATAACAGACCCTCATATTTCCAGCAAAATAACTTGGAACGAATTCCCTAGTCTCAAATGAGAACTACTAAATGCACATTCGTTTTGTAAATAATCGACAAGTATAAAAGCAAACAATCAAAACATGATGATTTGAGCTTCCAATTTCGCCCAACTTAATATAATATCCAGATTATTCATTATGCACAAAAATTCTAGTTGGTAGAGAATGGTCTTGACCGAATAATTAGTTAGTTGATACTTAATAGACACAATTATTACTAATTTTTCAGTTCAACTTATCAGTATTTAACCAATTTTCTCATTCAAAGTTTACTAAAAATACACTGATGTCTTTGGCTGACACGCAAAAGAACTGAGTCAGCTGCCCTCTGACAGGCTGTCTGCCCAAGAAGCCCATTACAACAACTAGGAGACGCAGATGACAGTTATACAGCCCATTTGGATCAAAGATTTCAAACGTTACTCAAAGATTCCACGTACAGTGACTATTTTACCCTGTTTTATCTTTTCATAATTAGAAACTTCAAGCAGACTGTGGGATCATGCCACCTGTAGGGCCACCCTCAGCACTAGGGTTTTCTTCTCGGTATTTATTGATCAAATTTTAATATAATTAAGAGAGAATTTCCACCCTTATTGTTGTTAACAACAGTAGTATAGTTTTATATAGCCTCCCTCCAGGTGGGGAACATGCCCAGGTGACTTAATATCGAAAGTCTATTACCCTCTCACAAGGGTCAGGACTTTCTCGGGAAAATTTCAAAGTCCTTTGGTAGTCCATTATTAAATCCACACCTGAACTTAATTTCGTATATTGTTGAAAGAATTACATGTTAATAACATTACCCCAAAATTACAATGGTTGAAATAATTTTGATTAGTTAGAATGCAATGAAGGTTAAGGAGTTGAGCATAGCAGAACATGACAGGAAAAGCAAACAAAATCTAGTAGAAAGGTTCCACCTACGAATCAACCTGGTGTCAACTCTACCAAATTCAAACTGATTACCCAATACTCAAAGGTCAAGCTGACAACATCTAATTCTGATATTGTGATCTCATAAACACTATAAAATAGTAAGCACTGCCAATTTTAAATAAATTGATTATTCAAATTCCGGTGCATTAGGTCACCAGTATATAATTTCAATGGCCCTTGAATTGTGAATAAGGAGCAACAAGGGGATACCTGAGATGACAAAATAACACATCAATTTAATCATTAAAAAATGTCTAATCAAAAGTAAATTATAAAAAGACCTACCTTAAGATACATAAATCATTAACAACTCCATCCCTTCAAACAAAAATCTGAACAGGAAATAAAAAATGCTCACACTAGCACGACAATCATAGCTAAGAATAAAGAGACTTCGAGTTAGATGAGAAATTCACTTACTCGCGCCATGTTAAAGGAAGGAAATCGGGAAAAAGCTTTTGAAAGAACATCATCATTCACTTCGTTACCAAGATCACCACAGAAGAGCCGATAGTCATCTAATTATCCAAAAAAAATAAAGATACATTAGTTCATGATTTCTTATCTCACTTCAAAATCACGAACACTATTTCCAAATGGGCTCAGAAAAAACAAAACAAATACATCCGCACTCACATCACACACAATCCATACACTTATAGATATGGATTAAGGAAAAATATATGATCTTTCACAACACACAAAAATTTCACTAGACAAAAAATTTAATTAAAGATTTAGTAAACACTAAATAGTAATCACTACATCACAGTCGTAACCATCATTGTCATACCTTCTGGCCACTCTGCAAGGATAGGATCCTCCCATGATTGGCCAGCAGCTTTGCGAGGAACCGCTTTCCTTTTGGCATCGGTTTTGTGCTCCACGTCGCTGCTCGCAATCGCCGCTTTAACATTCTCAAGAGCCTCCGGCGTTATTATCTGCGCATCCCTCTCAAATAACTGCTGCGCCTGTTCAATCACATAAAAATCCAATCAACTTTTATTCATAAATAAATGGAATTCATTTACGCGACCTTATCCTTTTCTTATTAAGAGCGAATAAAAGGAACGACCTGATATTGCGGCACGGCGGAGTACACACCAGGAACCGGTGCCGGCGCAACCGGACCGACGACGGGAGGAGCGGGGATTTGCACAGAGGGAGCGGCGACGTATGGTGCAGCGTAGTGTGTGGTTGCGGGTTGCTGCAGGTGAAAGGGGACGGGGAAATAGGAAGGGTTTGAATACGCAAATTGCGATTGCGAAGCTGAGGAGGAAGACGGTGGTGTCGTCATAGATCGTAACTCCGATTGAACTCGAGGGAAAATTTGGAAACGAAGGCAGCGTTTGGGTTTCTTAGGGTTCTGTTCAGCTTTTATGCCATTTTTATTTATTTGAAATATTTCATTCCTCAATTTTTTTGGTGGTTCTCTACTGGTGGGCCACTCCAACACAGAACTAGTGAAAGTTACATATGACTCTGGGCCTAATGAAGAAAAAAGAATTTAAGCCCACCGAAAATGTTTCTAGTAATATAATTTGGGCTTTGAATTACTAAGAGATAAAATGTTGAATCAATCAATCAAAGTAGGGATGACTATTCTCACCCCCACCCCCTCTAATATATATATATATATATACATATATATACTCACCCACTACCGCAGTGATGTAGGCTAAAATATTTGTTTATTACTTTTTAAAATTATTTAATGCCAATAATGACCTCACTCAATGGAAAAATGTATCGTTAACAAAATACATAAAAGTATGAATATAACGTATTCAAGAGTCGAGTGAGCTGATTAATAATTGAAAGAATATTTAATAATTTATTGTAATTAAGAAAAAAAATTATTTGTATAGTGTAGATTTAAAAAGAATATTTAAATTTTGTAAAATAAATGGTTGGAAAGAAATTAAGAGGTGGCACTTGCAACTTGGAATAAAAGTATATAGGTAGCAAAATATTAGTTAGCCTCTGTTTGTTGCAAGTGATTTACTGTTTCAAAGAATAGAAAAGCGAGATGAATTGCATTTGTTGTAACTGATATGAGACGATTTGCAGGCGCGGATTTGAGGGAGAAGGGAGGAAACAGTGCATCCACGCCTCCTCTAATTTATGCGAGGATTTGAGCGGATAGCAGAGAAAGACAGGTCAACAACTGATAAATGACTTAAATACCCTTCTCCAGGTGCAGCATGTGAACACACAGTATGATAGCGGTTAAATTTTAACCGCTATTATAATAGCACTTCTAATAGCGGTTATGTTATATAGCACTTATAATAGCGGTTTTTAACCGCTATTATATAGCAATTCTAATAGCGGTTAAATCTTAACCGCTATTATATATTTTTAGATATGATCGATAATTTTAAAATGTAGTCGCTCATAATCGAAAAACGTGGATGTCGCTCGAGCGACATAAGTTTCGCTCAAGCGAAAAATAACCCGAGAATGAAAATTATGTGCAGGTGTCTTCGCTCGAGCGAGTTTAAAGTCGCTCAAGCGAAATACAACTTGTAATAGTGGTTAAACCATCACCGCTATCTAATATATACTTTAAATAGCGGTTACAGAGGAACCGGTATGATATCTTCCAATTATGATCGATCATTTGAAATTATGATCGATCATGATGGTATTTCGCTCGAGCGAGAGTATAATCGCTCGAGCGAACTACAACCCGAGACTGAATCTTAAAATATTTTTTTTGAATATTATGTTTTTTAATTTGTTATTAGAGAAAACCTTTCAGAATTCAAAATGTTAAATTATATTTTAGAATATATATATCTATATAATTTTCTATCAAAATTATATATTCTCAAATATAATTTATTTTCATTTCTATATATATATATATATATATATATATATATATAGAACATATGATAGCGGTTCGAGGTGAACCGCTATCTTAAGTGTCGAGGTTTTGGAAAAGTGATCGATCATTTTGGCAAAATAATCGATCATTTGAAAACTTGAGATAGCGGTTAACATATAACCGCTATCACAGGTTACTTTTAAGAGCGGTTATCTTTGTAACCGCTCTGAAAAGTCTATATATAATAGCGGTCCAGTTTAACCGCTATCTTATATATATTTGTAATAGCGGTTATTACTGGAACCGTTATCTAAAATCTTGATCATTTGACAAATTATATATTCTAAACACGACAGAAGGAGGTAAGTCATGAACAGAAGTCACGGGCTGTACATGCAGTGGTCACGGGCTGTACAGCCAACTTCACGTGTTCACAGGTGATAGAAGTTACAGGACTTATTTTTTCTTCTCTAGTTACAGCCGATAGGGAAAGTTATTGTATTATATAAAGCAAAGCTAGTCTCATAAGACTAGCTAAAAGACTCTAGCAAAGCAAAGCAAAGCTACTCTGTTGTAGGTTGGATCTTCGCCCGCGGCCATTAACTTCGGTGTGACCTTGGTTGGTACATTTGTTTTTGGTATATTGTCGGAGGAACACCCCAGGTATGGTTCTGTGCCTTCTCTGTCATGGTTGGAAGTTATAATCTGTTAAAAGTCCTTTCAACCCATTAATGCGTTCTTGTTTCTTTAACAGAATGGTTTTAGTTGATACAATCATGTTTATATCAGTTAAAACATTTTACAAACATTTTCTGAGAGTGATTCAATCGATTGATTCGCGTTTTAATCGATTGATTTGCTTAAAAACCTTCTTATAAAACTTTCATAAGTTATTTTAGCTGATATAAAGTCGTTTTAATCGATTGAAAATCTGTACATAACTTTTCAAGTCTTTTTAATCGATTGAAAGTTCGTTTTAATCGATTGAAATAAGTCTGATCAGTCATAATTAAATTATGATCGATCATACCCAACTCTGATCGGTCATAATTTCATTCTGATCGATCATCCTGACTTCCAAAGTGGTTTTAATCGATTAAAACGTGTTTTAATCGATTAAAATAAATCTGATCGCTCATTTTTAAAGTCTGATCGATTATATTTCATTCTGACATGTCATATTCGAATTCTAATCGGTCATAAAAGGGTTTTAATCGATTAAAAGAAGTTTGTATCGATTAAAATACTGTAAAAACACTCCTTTACGTATTCTAAGTGATTTTAATTGTTTCTTTTAAAACTATATCAGTTAAAAACATTGTTAAGAAAGTTCTTTGTCAAAATGCTTTTGTTTGATTTGTTTAAAACTATTTTTGAGGCATTTTGCAAATTGAGTGAAGGAGCTTCATGCAGTGGAAAAAGGTAAAGGATATTGGTATCATAATTACATATATTAAAACTATTGTTAAAACATTGTTAAAACTATTTATAATAATTATATGTTGGTATCGTAATTACATATATTATCTTTCCAATAGGTTTAAAATGAACAGAGGAAAGGATATTGCACCGAATTCGTCACCTGTAGTGCGCGAGTTTACAAAATGGACTGATGACATGGACTTTTGGTTGTTGACTGCTATGTTTGATGAGGCAAGGTTGGGTAATCGGGTTGATGGTAGTTGGACAACCCAAGCATATAATAATATAGTTGAATCCCTAAGACAGTCTGGATTAATTGGTATAACTAAAAATAATGTTAAAAATCGACAAAAAAGTCTTAAGGATAGATGGCGGGAGGTCCACGATTTGTTTCATGGACTTAGTGGATTCGCTTGGGATGATATGACAAAACGGTTTGTGGCTGAGGAAGAAGTATGGGATGACCTAATTAAGGTACTATTATATGAATTATCATTTGTTGATATAGCAAAACATAACAATTACGAGTGTTAACCATTGTCATTATTTTGTAGGTGAAGCCTTCTGCAGCTAAATGGAAACTGGCAACTATAAGACATTATGATTTGATGGAAGAATTGTGGGGTGCTGATCGAGCCAGTGGACATATGGCAAGAACTTCGCGTCAGGCCCGAATGAATATCAGTTCTCGAAGGGCAACAGTCGACTTGAACGTTGATGTGGACCCTACACCAGAGGAGCAGCCATTTCACTTTGGCTTTGATGCAGGATTTGATACAGCTTATCGATCACCTCCACGCATGGGTTCCGACAGTCTTGCTGAGGGTGCTCACTCAATTCCATCTGCTGCGTCTACTGGTTCAGGTGGAACCTCTTCATCGCGGGGCACAAAAAGAAAAGCGCCTATGGTTGATGTGATGGAAAGTCAATTTGACAAACTAACAACGAGGCTAGACACATTTACAGATTACCTCGGGCAAGGTAATACAATCACCCAACGATTATCTGACATAGCTGAAAGACAGGTTGTCGCCATTGAACGCAGAAATGAATTAATTAATGAGCAAGTTAATGTGATGAGACGATCATCAACATTTCAATATTCGGAGTCAGATATATGGAACATGTTAGTCGGCATGAACCTAAATGACGAACAACTTATGCTTCAGTGTTATAATCATCTGTGTACTCACCCATCACATGTTAGACGACTTTTTGGCTTGTCCTCACATCTTCGTCTCTCCCAGTTGTTCATGTTCTTGAATGGAGGTGATTGAATGATCTGAACTGGAGGACTTGACTGCAAAAGATGGATAACATGATAATTATTTGTTTGAAGAGCATTAGTGTGCATAGATTTATAATTTTAGTAATCTTTCCTTTAATTAGTATTCTATTTTCACTATATTTTATATTTGTTTTGAATAATAATGTGCAATTATATTATTAGTTTTCATAATTATTTGTTATTATCAGATCAATATTAATTATTATTTTATATTTTATAATTATTTAATTAGTAGTCAAATAATTTATTTAATATGTCAACATTATTTGAATATGGATATGCAATGTACATAATTTTGTAATTGTTTATTTATATAATTTTTAATAACTATCTAAAAAAAGTTAATTTTTTAAATTTGTTTCCAATTACAAACACTTTTAAATTTTTTTTTAAATATATAATCAATGTTAAAATATGGATAATTAATTAAAAAATTATATTTATAATCATTTGAACCTTATTTTATACAAAGGATAAAATGGTAATTTTTTTAAATAATCAATTAAAATTATAATTTTTATATCTCATATCAATCAAATCATTCACAATTTTCCATAAACTTTCCTTTCACTTTTCATTCATCCAAACAACTTTAACTTTATCTCCATTTTTCTTCAAATCCCTCTTTTTCCACTCTCTCATTTCCACTCTCTCAAATCACTCCAACCCAAAAAAGTCTTAGTGTAAGAAAAAAAAGAGGTTTGCATGGAGACATGATCCATGATTCCATTGTCATCGAGACGATAACTTTTCC